ATGTAAGAAACTTGGGCCCAAATTCATTGGGCCTTTCCCAATTGTGCGAGTTATTAACCCAGTCACAATGCAGCTAAGTCTCCCCCCTCTACTGGGGAAAACACATCCAGTCTTCCACTGCAGCCTGCTCTGTTCAATCCAGGCCTCTGATATCAGAGGAGACCCACTACAGCTGCCAGCCCCCGGTTACTGTAGATGGGGAACAGCACTATATAGTGCAAGATATACTGGATACCAGGTGGCACAAGGGATGGTTATAATACCTTGTTTTATGGAAAGGTTATTCCCTGTCAGAGGCATCGTGGGTTCATAGCAAGGACTGTAGGGCTCCCCACCTGATAGCGAGATTCTACCACAAAACCGGGGGGGAAGGGGTCCTTCAACTCCTAACTGACTGTAATTTGTAGCTCACCAAATGCTGTCTCCATGGTAGGAGGCTGCATGGCAGCTCCGCCCAGTACAGAGGCCTGGAGCTGCCATTCAGGGGAGAAACCCAGGCCAGCTGCCAAGATTCACCAGGCTTCACGCCTCCACAAACAGCTGGGTAAATCTACAAAGCTAGTGATAACTGACTGACAACAATCCACAATTAATTGCCTGGTGGTTTTTGTTCTCGGTTACAAGGGGATGGGTGTGTGCCCACGTGGGATGCAGGTTATCCTAATTACTAAGTAACTATAAAAGGGGTGGGGAGCACTGGGTGGCAGCTCTGACAATGTATTCATTGCCTTAGTGCTTTGTTGGTCAGTTTGTGCCGAAGGAAGAATACAAACTGCATTTCAAACTGTTTCTGTGTTTGGCTGTTTCCACTAACCCTTCAGAACCTGACAGGTAGAATAATATTGCCTCTATTGCATTCCGACTTGACTGAGGCTGGTGGGAGGATCTGCTGGCTGTGAGAGGGGATTCTGAGAGAGAGTACAGAGGAGAAAGGTAGAGTAAAATTGCCTCTATTGCATTTCGACTTTCCTGAGGTTGGTGGGAGCTGCTGCTGGCTGAGAGGAGGGAGTCTGAGATAAAGTAAAAAGGACAAAGGTAGAGTAATATTGCCCTCATTGCATTTTACCTCCCTGAGGCTGTTGGGAGGGGCTAATTGCTGAGAGATGTGAGTTTGAGACAGAGTAAAGTGGACAAAGGTAGATTAATATTGCCTCCAGTGCATTTCAACTTCTCCTGGCGCTGGTGGGAGGAGCTGCTGTCTGAGTGGGGAGAGTCTGAGAGAAACTACAGAGGACAAAAGTAGAGTAAAATTGCCTCTATTTCATTTTACCCTCTGTGAGGCTGGGGGGGAGGAGGTGCTCTCTTATAGGAGGGAGTCTGAAAAAGTACAAAGGACAAAAGTAGAGTAAAATTGCCTCCATTGCATTTTAACTTCCCTGAGGCTAGTGGAGGAGCTGCTGGCTATGAGAGGGGAATCCGAGAGAGAGTACAAAGGACAAAGGTAGAGTAAAATTCCCTCGATTGTATTTGAACTTCCCTGAGGGTGGTAGGATGAGCCGCTGGTTGAGAGGGGGTTGGGGTCTGAGAGAGAGTACAGAGGACAAAAGTAGATTAAAATTGCCCTCTATTGCATTTTAACCTCCCTGAGGCTTGGGGGAGGAGCTGCTGGCTGTGAGAGGGGAATCTAAGAGAGAGTACAGAGATCAAAGTTAGAGTAGATTTAAACTTCCCTGAGGGTGGTAGGATGAGCCGCTGGTTCAGGGGGGGGGGTCTGAGAGAGAGTACAGAGGACAAAAGTAGATTAAAATTGCTTCCATTGCATTTTAAATTCCCTGAGGCTGGGTGGAGGAGGTTCTGCATGAGACAAAGGGAGTCTGAGAGAAAGTACAGAGGACAAAGGTAGAGTAAAATTGCATCTGTTTCATGGACAAGCAGATTGCCCATGTAACCGCTTACTGGGACATCCCTAACCAACTCTCTGAGTGGTTCCAAGTAGCAATAAAAGGCGACAGCGGGCTGCATGCCAACGACATGAGAAAGCAACCGGACACAAAAGGGAGAGGTTAACCTGACCTGAAACCACTCAGCTGATGGTGAACCACAGCACCACAGCAGGCCCTGAGACCAGCCCTCCCTCGAAGTCCGCTGAAATGCTACAGATGTGAGGGGATGGGCCATATGGCATCCATGTGCATGACCCCAACCCCGATGCCGAGGCCAGAGCTACTACCCAGGGCACGACGGGAACGCAGCCACAAACGGGCTACCCACGCATCCCGGAAGGCTTTCCAGGCTGCAGAGGTCCCTCCCCAACCAGATGAAGGTGGGGGGGGGAATCCAAGGCAACAATGACCAGTCACCAGAATCCTATGACAGTGATGACGAGGGCAAAAACAACCCAATGGTGAGAGGACCAATTCGCCCTTTCCTTTTTCCAATACGCCTCACAGCCCCAAAGACAGGAAGCCAAGGGGATTTTCAAGCCCTAATATACTAAGGCTGCACTAGATGCTTGATCAACCTGACCACAGTCCTGAACCTGGGGATCAGAGCAAAAAGGCTGGCCCACACAATTCGGTTCAAACAGGTCGACAGGTCCGTAGTGGGAGGAGCCTATGCCACCCACCTTACCGAACCAGTGAGACTAGAGCTAGTGGATCACTGGGAAGTAATTCAATTCATAATAGCCCCCAAAATGACAGATGCAGTCATACTGGGACTCTCCTGGCTAGACAAGAGGGGGCCGACCATCTGGTGGCAAGGGGGTACCTGCAGGCTTAGGATAGAAAAGGGGCCCCAACCCCTTTTCTGCCAGCAAGCAGAAACAAAACCCAAGCAGCACACCAGAACATCTGGGAGCCACATCCAATGAAACCTCAGAGACCGAATATCAGGACCTTGCAGAAGTATTCAGCGAGACAGAATGAAACCTTCCCCCCCCCCCCACCGTGTGGTAGATTGTGACATCGAAATCATCCCTGGGGCAAAACTATCCAAACCCAAGCTGTACATCATGACG